TCAAAGTTAGCAAAACATCTTAACCTGTTTTCAGCCATGGAAAAATCCTGTTTCCCAAATGTACTTATGATAAATGTCTAATCACAATGTCATACACCTGAAACTAATATAATATTGTATGTCAACTGTAATGGAAAAATAAATTTAAAATTTTAAAAATCAGTTACAACTGTTCCACTTCCTTATACATTTCCCCTCAAGATTGTACTTATGAAAATTTACCAACCTAAAGAAGTTCTTCAAAATTCCATAACATCTATTACTTTATTTGTTGCAGCAAAAGTAAGGCAGATGTTATTAAAATAAGAACTCTAGCCCTGGCTGGTGTGGCTCAGTAGATTGAGTGCTGGCCTACAAACCAACGGGTCATCGGTTGGACTTCCATTCTAAGGCACATGCCTGGGTTGGAGGTCAGGTACCCGATGGGAGGGCGTGCAACATGCAGCCACACATTGATGGTTCTCTCCCTCTCTTTCTCCCTCCCTTCCTCTCTCAAAAAATAAAGAATAAAATAAAATAAATAAAATCTTTAAAAAAATAAGAACTCTAAATCCAACAGTATAAGACTATATTACAGTAAACAAAATGTTATGTGATTGGTTAATTAAGTTTCCCCAAACCACACATTCTTTTAATATATAGATATGCTAGTGATGATTTATGGTGTTTTTAATAATTTCTATAACAAAGCTGAAGACAGAGTCCTTGCTCAGAAATATAATCTCTTATGCTGCTGTTTTAGGAGTAAAATTCTAATTGTCATAGTTTTATTTATAGTAACTTTCCCCAATTAAACCTTAAAGTGCAAACCATTATTAAAGCTAAGTTGCAAGCTTGAGAAAACTATAAGAATCTTATTATAAAACCTTAGAGAATGCTAACAACAATAGCATTTTTCTCTTCAATGATAAAGCATTTTACAAATGCTTCATTAATCTCATATTCTATCTATAGAATGTTCTATCAAATATTAATATTCTATCTATAAATATTAATATTTAATAAACATTTCATTAATCTCAATCAAGTTGAAGGACATACTACTTTATATAAAGATGCTCATTTAAAAAATACTGTTCCCTAAGAGCCAATTCATGCCAAATGCTAATCTAAAATCTTTGCAAATATTATCTGATTAAATCTTCACACCAGTCCTGGGAAGGTAGGTACTATCGTCCTTTAACAGGTAAGAAAACTAAGACTATCTCATCTCCCACATCCAAAATTAGTGAGGTGAAACAACTGACCGAAATCACACTGCAAGTATGAATACAGTTGGAATTCAATCCCAAGTTTCTGTGACTCCAAAATCCATGGTCTTCTCATAATTTGAACCTCTAGCTGGGTTCACAACAGCTGGGGTTTCATGTACAGAAGCTGTTCAGCAGTATTAAACATGATTAACATATTCAAACCTGGACTTATTATCTTTCCATCCCAAGGCTGGTCTACTCTGTATAGTTCCTATTCTGATTAACAGAAGGAGTTACTCTTCATCTGATAAGTACTCACCCGGGCATTTTCATTTTCTATCTCCTACATCCAAATAGTCACTGAATGTTGTTGATTCTACTTCCTTCTCTCATAATCTCTCATACAGACCTTTAGCTACTATGCTATCTCTATCCCTTACTGTTAAGCTAAGTTTTTTAAAAAATGGCCTATAATCCACAAACACTGTATTCTTCTTAAGGGTAGTTCTTAAGGGCAGCTTCTTATGTATGCTGCTGTATACTTAGTGTCAATCACAGAACTTGTCCATAATAGCTTTCCAATAAATACTGAACACAAGGAATGCAAATATCTAGCTTCCATCCCTCCATTCCCCTGCAAGTGCCATGAAAAAGGTCCCTGATGAATTTCTGATAGGAAAATTGCATTGTTTTCATTATTAAAACTCAGATTCTCTGAGGTTGACAATGGAAGAATATCCACATGCAGAACTTAGGAGTTAAATCCATTAGTTTAAAATGCTCTTGCCTTATAATTATTGACTCCTTTACGTCTTGATACAGCAAAGATAAAGTTATAATATTTAAATAAGACTTTAGCAAGGCTGGAGGATAAGAAAAGAGAAGTGTAGACACCAAAAGGAAACTAGGCAGTGAGTCTGAAAAGTCAGGATTTTGTCTCTGGGGCGTTTAGACCCCATTCTATCCCAGCCCCTGATCTACCTTTCACTGCTGAGCACTGCTTAAGCTCCCACCACATTCCCTCCTTAGAGACTAAGACTAGGAAAGAGAAGCTCAGAGAGATCCTGACTTCTATCCATCCCCACTTAAATCCCTTTATCCAAGTCATAGCTTCCTGACCTGGAACCTACTTTTCTTGGTAAAGGTTGAACAAGAAAAATGCCAGGCCTTTAGGAGAAACTCCAATCCTCAGGCATCATCATAATTTTACCCTACAGGCCACCCCAAATCGATCAATCTTTACCTCAATACAGCACAGCAATTCAATATTTATATGGGAATATATGCCAGATGCATATATTCTATACTGCAATAGGAACTACTATCAAACCATCTAGAAACTTTAGCTTTCTAGACATATTGGTAGCATTCTGTATATTTACTAGCCATTCCTTTTTGAAGTTCTCAAATCATTTGGTTGCCCATCTCCTGATTACTGGCCTTCTCTGGTTAATTTCAGACTACCCTGGCTTTTTTCTTATTATGCATCCTCTCCATAGCCAACAGCAGTTAAGAGTTAGCTTTGGATCAATTCTACCTTTTTCTTTTTAAGCTATGTGAGGATAACAGTATATGCAAAGCATTTAACACAGTGCCTGAAACATAGTAAGCACCTAGGCATAGTAACATAAAAGCAAAATAAAACAAAATATTCCAATAGGCTGTTTCTAAATACATTATCTCTCGTTCAGACTTTGTTGCTGAGCTTAAGATCAATGTACTCCATATGATGCGGGACCTAGGAAAACTTGGAAATAAGATTATCTTCTGAGAACTATGTATAATGGACCAAATCGGATATATGGAAAGTTAGCTTAGAGACACAGACTGGCTCTGAGACCACAAACTAGGCTATAATATACATGCTTTAACATATTTAAAGAAAATATTTTCATCAAACAGATTTGTCAGGAATGAAAAGAGAGAAAAAAACAACTCAAAAGGCAAAAATGGAGGCAAGTAAAGCTCTACTGTGGCAGTTCTCATAGCTCACGTAGATGGAGGGGTAGGGATGAATTTGAGGGGTATTTGGGAGATAAGATTTGACAGGACATAGTAATAATCTGACTACAGAGTTAATTTGGCTATAGATGAAGGACAGGAAGAAATCAATAATGCTTAGGTTTCAGATGATCACAAATGGATGGTACTATCCTTAACTGAAAAGGTACTACCTTAACACAAAAACGTATCAGATTCACGGGAGAAGCCTGCATTTGGTTTTAGGCATTGGAGTTTGGGGCCTTTTGAGATACTGAAGAAGAAATATCAAGGAGGTAAATATATATGAAGGCTAAAAGGGAAGCTGGATGGAACTATATAGTTAATAGTCATAGATGGTGCTGAAAGAATGGGTATGGATGAGATCAGATTCAACTACACAGTGAAAAACAGACTCAGACTTAAAAAGTTACCCTACCCTTTGTGGGTTGGACAAAAGATGATGAGCCCAGAACAAGAAAGGAATGACTTTTTTGCTCATCTGTAAGAAATCATAAGAAGTTCTCATTTTTAAATTCTATTTTAAACTGGTAGCATTAGAATGTAGCAAGGCTTTCCAAATAAGACCAACTGTTTGAAATTAGAAATCTGGCCAAGGATAGGTCACTTTGGCCCTGGCTGGTGTGGTTCAGTGGATTGAATGCTGGCCTGCAAACCAGTCACCAGTTGATTCCCAGTCAGGGCACATGCTTGGGTTGTGGGCCTAGTCCCCAGTGGGGGATATGCAAGAAGCAACCACACATTAATGTTTCTCTCCCTCTCTTTCTCCTTCTCTTCTCCTCTAAAAACAAATAAAATCTTAAAAAAAAAAAAAAGATAGGTCGCTTTCAGCATCTATCTGGAAAATTGGTACTACCTGTCTCTTTGCAGCTTCAGAGTACATCAGTACACAGAAAGGTACCCTTCCCAAAATACACGATTGGGCTTATTGCAGCTTCCTGAAAATACTACCTCTTTCTTATTTCTGGGCCTCACTATATGCTATTCTTGTCGCCCTCTCTTTGCCTGGAATGAGAATTTCCCTGACTTTCTGAGACTGGGCTAAGTGATCTTTTTAGCCATCCCAATGATATCATGCAGTACTGTAATTATATGTTTAACCATTCATTTCTCTTAGATAGGGGTTGTGTCTTTTTCACTATTATACACTCAGAACCCCAAAAAGCTAAATTTTTTAAAACACATCTATTCTGCAATGTGAAGAACTAAAATCTAATTTGGTTATCAGTTAACTGATGATCTTTCAGAACCACAAATTTCTTTAAAGGAGTGATTTAAAAAACAAACAAACAGTACTGTGTAAACAAATGGTTGAATACTTTAAGTAAAATAGATTTTCTTACGGGTCTTTTTTCACATAGTAACCTTAAACCCTGGAAAAATTCATGCCAGGGAATGCTGAGTCTCATACAACTCGCTTTCCAAGCCCTGCTTGGGATGTCATTTCACCGAACAAATAAAGCACAGAATACCCCTCATGCAACGTCAAAGGTGCAATTCCACTGGGGTGCCCTCATTCACCCCGCACGAGACCACCAGAAAGGGCAGAAGCAGAGGCAGCATCCCGCTGGCCTGGCCCTTGCCGTTTCCCCCTGACCCTGAGACTGGCCACCTTTTCTAAATCCTCGCCTACACGCCGTCGGGCTTGGGCACCTGGACCAGTCTTTCCTACGCAAATTACTGGGAAAAATCCCTGGACTAACAAGAACAGCCCTAGATGGTTTCGCTTCCAAAATCCCAGAGGAAATGGAGGAAGGGAAAATCCTATCAAGGGAAAAGTGGCAGCCGAGGCTACAGTTCTCTCACCAAGCCGACGCTCTCAATCTCGGGGAGGGCTAACCGTAGCGTAGCAGGCCGTTGCAGGAGCTTCTGGTGTCTGTAGTTTCCGTCGCAAACAGAACGCGCCAGCAGCCTCAAAAACTACATTTCCCAGAAGTCAATGAGATGACACCTTACATTCTAAATTAGGGATTTGGCCTAATAAAGAGACCGTCAGTATTTTTAGGCTAATCTTAAAATTAGGTTAAGTTTCTTCCAGGAATGTGTCTTCGCCCTCTTTGCTGTGCTTGTTTTATCTGTGAAAGTTACAGTACTTCAACTCATCCTGTTTTTTTTCCTCCTCCTCTAGTCCACAGAACCTAAACGGTACAGAAAACGTCCCACGGCGCAGGCAATCTTCCAGGCGCATGCGCCCTTCTCTCTAGCACGTAAGCGTAGCACCCAGCAAGGGTTGGCGGTTGTGCGCGGACCTCTGGGGATCCGGAGGTAGAGAGCGAAGGGCGGGGCTTTTTTCCAATGGCTTTGCCTCAGCGGGTCGCGTCTGCCAGGGCGGGGAAGAGGGCGGTAGGGCAGGGACTGCTCCCGGTGGAGCCGGGCGGGGAAAGGGGAGGGGCTGGGGGTGAGGACCCCATCTCCCCTCCTTGCCCCCGCCCTGTGGGACGAGCCCCACCGATGGGGCTGGGCGAAGGGGCGGGCTCTACGCCGCGGGCCCAGCGGCTCTGCTAGCGCCGAGGCCCAACCCCGCACTCGAGGATTGCAGGGAGACCCGGTGCTCATCTGGTTTAAAGGGCGGTGGACGAGGACGCAGAGATCGGAAAAGAAACAGTATCTACTCCAGGGTCTTGAATCGACCGGGCAGGTGACGCTTTCCTTACTCGTCGCTGCCGAGACATGGACCGTTGGAAGCTGTTGCCCTCGGGAGCGCCTTGATCTTCGGCCTTGGCGGCCAGTGAACCGGGGTTCGGCGAGCTTTCCCAGCCAGCGTCCAACCCGCCGCCTAGGCGCAGGGAGGAGCTGCGGAGGGCGGGGACTGGTGCCGGGGAGGGGCGGGGTGGGAACGCTCCAGAGAACTGGGTGGCTGCAAGACAAAAAAAGAAAAAAACCCGAATGGCTGGAGGGCGTTCAACTGTTACCAGCCTTTTGGGGCAGAGCACGGATTTGACAGCTCCACGACGTGAGGATATCCGCTGATCCGGCAAGACGGAGGCAGACACTTCCCTGTCCCACAAAGCCAACACTCTAAGGTTTCAACTTTCCAACTTTTTTTTTTCAGTCTGATCGGAGACTGCCCCTTCGTGTGGGAGAGGGCGAGTTCTACCTTATAGATCGTTTCAAAGATATCAATATAAAAGACACTCTGATTCCAAGTGTCACCCAGACTTGTGTTCTCATGAAGATTCGATTTCTCTGATTTTATTCTTAAATTTCTTGTATTAAAAATACAAAGTGCTTTTGGGGACATGCTAAAAGGCAACTGAAGACTGCAAAGAAAAATCTCCAGTTGTCATGGCTGAAGGAGAGAATGAAGTGAGATGGGATGGACTGTGCAGTAGGGATTCAACTACTAGAGAGACAGCACTGGAAAACATTAGGCAAATCATTTTGAGAAAAACTGAGTATCTTCGTTCGGCGAAAGAGACACCTTGTCCATCGGACGGGTTTTCAAATGCTGTTTCTTTGGATGGGTTGAATAAGCTTCTTGCTCATCTGCTGATGCTCTCTAAAAGGTGTCCCTTTAAAGATGTAAGAGAGAAAAGTGAGTTTATTTTGAAGAGCGTCCAGGTAAGGAAGAGCATTATTATTGCAATCGTTTATAAAGTGTAGTGAAATTTTACTTGCACTTAAATTCATTTTGTATTTACTTCTGTGGGTTGTTAAATGAACTCCTATTATGAATTCATTCTGTATCTTAAATTTAGAGTGTTCTGTAAAACATTGAATGTGGGACCGGAATTGCACTAGATGAACTAAAGTAAAGGAAAATTTTCAAATATGAGTAAACAAGTATTATCTTTCTAGAGAGTTGTAGCAGAAACTGCATTCCTCCTGGAAAAACACATGAAGGTTACAGTTGATTGCAAGTAAAGACTTGCTTTTCCTTATATTCATTTTTACATGTTGTTTGAAAGTGTAGCCAGTATGTTTTTCACATTGTTACAAACTGTTCTGTGTGGAAACTTTTCACATTTGAAAGCCTCTAAAATGGTAAAGGATATCAAATGTTTCCTTGTCAGCTTGTTCAAGATAATTGGCAGAACAATTTTCTCTTGTTCCTAAAAACAAAAAAATGCAGGGTTTGTTCTCTAAATGCAACCTTTATTTTTCAAAAAAAAAAAAAAAGAATTACACAAAGTAATAAAAGCCTTATGTTATCAAAGCTGACATCTTCAGATTTAAAATTTGGGCCCAGATGGAGTGTATGGTAGAAACACTTTTATGGTAAATTACTCAACCAACTTTCTCTGTTTCCTTAAATTGTTTCTTTTCATTTTTGCATATATACCTATTTAAATTGTGAATGCAACAGGTTAAACATGTTATAGTTTTCCTCCTGTTTTGTACATAATCAGTTTATCCTACTTTATTAGATTTATTAAAAGGCTTTTTTTTTAAAGGAGAGGTTGTCTTTAGATATTAAGAATGCTCAGTAACCCTCTATGCTTGTCAGTCCAAATTACTCAATCCATATGTGTTGTTCAAAGTCACAGTGTGAGTAGTTTTTAACATTTATAATTTACTTAGGTAAATATGGAAGTGAAGATTGACAGTTTTTCTATTCTGGCTTGAATTTAGTTTAAAGGAATAGAAAGAACAATCATGTCTATAAAATGAAGACTCTTCACTTCTTAGAAACACTTTGGCAATAACCATTAAAATTCATTTATCTAGAGTTACCAGAGAGGGATTTATTTTCTACATACCTGAAGTTTGCCCTTTTAAGCATCAATTATTTATCTCATAGACTATAGTGACTACAACAACTTTTTTTGTAATGGGGTCATCATTATGCACATAAACTACTGTGGTCTAGCTAAGAGTGAGTATATAAGACTATATGATCCATGGTTTTTGAATTTTTGTGTTCAATTCTATCCCTTGCTGTCAGTATACTTCACTTTGGTTTCTTCTTTAACCTTTCATTTTGCCGCTTATTTGTGTTAAAATGGGAAACCAGATAACCAATTTTGTTAAGAGTTATAGTGAAAACAAAAGTAATTAGGCTCTGGGGAGTACCGGGTCAGAGGACTATAATATAATGGTGACTGAATGGGTACTGGAGTCAGACAGATTGTGCTCAAATTATCTCCTTTATTACTGTACCACATAACCTCTGACAAGTAAGTCATATGACTTGTTTCAGCTTGGATTTCCACATCTGTAAAATGGGAACAATACTCACCTTTGACAGGAAGCTAAAGAATAAAACAAACAAGCAAACAGAATAAAAACAAAGACACTGAAATAGAGAACAAGTGGGCAGCGACCAGAGGGGAGAGGGAAGGGAACTTAAGGGGAAAAAGGGGGAGGGATTTTGAGGAACAAGTATGAAAGACACAGAGATGAGGACTGGGGGGGGGGAATGGGAGGGAGGGGGGAGACCAGGCGGGGGGTGGGGGGGTGGGATGGGAGAAATAGATTAAAAAAAAATGTACTTGAAAAGTAACTAAATAAAATTTAATATTAAAAAAAAAGAAAAAATAAAATGGGAACAATAACATAGAGCTATTGTGTAAATTAATGTGATTTAAAGTGCTCCATTATGTAGTGGATTTTTCTCTCCACTTTCATAAGTAACATATATAGATTATGTAATATAGTATATTTCAGGACTCATTCATCCTGAAAAATGATTCAAGAATCTCCTCAACTGCACAGGTCATACTCTCTTTTTTATTTCTGCCTCTATTGTACTTTATTTCTGCCACAGTGTTAACAGGCATTTTACTTATATCATGCTATAATCATGTTTGTGTGTCTGTATCCCCCCAGAGGAGGCTCTAAGTTCTCAAGAGTATTGGCTGGGATTTGGAAGCTACTAAATAAATACCCAGTAGGTGAACAAATTTATATTTGGCTTCTTTTTGTTTCTTATCAGTCTGAATATATGAAGTTATCAAATTAGGGAGTTTCCACCCCTCACATCCATCATTCAATCATGCCTTCATTCAGTGAGTGTTTATGGAACCCCAGGTGAATGCCATTCTAAGAATGAGAACCAGTGGTGAACACCTTTGACATTCTATTAAAAAGAAATAAATAATATAATTTTACATAGTAAAGGAAGACTTCTTTGAAGAGATACCATTTAAGCAGAGATTTGATAAATGAATAAATATTATCCTGGCAAAAATGAGATTTTTTGAGGGGGCATCCCAGACATAGGGAAAAATGTGTTGAGACCTCATGGCCAGAAAGAGTAGATGAGTTCTAGGAACTGAAAGTAATGCACTGTGGTGGGAGCACACAGTTTGATGGGAGTGTGAAAGCTTAAGCTCATCCTCTGGAGTCAGACCTGGCTCCAACACTTTATTAGCTCTGCAGCCTTACATAATCTCTCAACTCAGTTTTCTCATCTGCAAATTGAGGATAATGCTAGTATAGTAGTTCTGCTTCACAATGAGAATAAAAGCTTGCAAAACATAGTACAATGCCTACCACATAAGAAACGCTTGGTAATGCTAGGATTCCTGTTTTGTTTTTTTGAAAATGCTTAATTCAGTTTATTTGCAAAATAAAAATATTTTGTTTGTTCAAAACTTAACCCTTGCATCCAGTTTCTTTTTTTTTTTTTTTTTGCTTTTTTTAGTGAGATTTATTTTTTTATTTTTCAAGTACAGTTGTCTCCATTTTCCCCTCACCACTCCCCCCAACCTCAACCCCCCACCTCCCACCTTAGGCAGCCAGATAACAGAGGATCTTGTAAGCTATGTTAAAGTATGTGGACTTTATCCTAGGAAAAATGGGAAGCCTCTGAGGGGTTTGGGGCAAGGTGGTGGCATGATTCATTGTGTATTAGATGGATTGCTTTGGAAGATCTACACTATCTACCCAAAGTATCCCAAATGTAGTTGAGGGGACAAGAGTGGATGTGCAACATCAGTTAAGAGTTTATCCACTAGCCCAAAGCAAAAATGATGGTGGAGTAGGATATAGTGGAAAAAGAAGAAGTTAATGGGCTAGGATATAGTGTTTGATTGGATATAGGAGGTGAGGAAAGTAACAAAATCAAGGACAGCTTGAAAGTTTCTGGCTTTAACTACTTGGTGAATAGTTAAATCATTTCCTGAGGCAGAAGAGCAATAGAGGGTCAGTTTAGGGGGAATGATGAGTTTTGTTTTAGACATGTTGAGATTATGTTGCCTATGTTAAAGCCTGTTAGAAATAGCTAACAAAGGGATTCTGCCCCTGCTACTACTTCTGCCACTATCTCTCATTTCTCCAGACTTAACCCATCCTCTACCTTTCTATCCATCTTTCATGTAACTGCAGAGCCT